GGGGGTCGGAAAGATCACTAATAGAAGGGACTAACAGGCAACCATACCATTTCTAACAAAGTAACAGACTCACTGCTGAAGCTGAATAGTAAAACGCTTGAAGCTCTAGTAGGACTGTACACCAGTCATTATAGATTGCGTCGCCTTAATAGCAGGTTGGGCGTAGCACGTTCTGTTCACATATCCTGCAATTTCCAGTCGCACGAGAATTGCTCCAAGTAGAGGCCTTGAAAGATATTTCTGCAAACAAGCTGATCGATTTTCTCAGGAGGTCTGAGCTATTATAGAAGACAAGTAATGGAGCCCATAAGTGTTTAGGCCTTAGCCCTTCGTGGCGGTTGGAGTATAAAAAAAGGTGTGAGCCAGAATAGACCTAGCTATTGATTAACGTATTTCACGTGAACCATATATTTGAAAGAATCTGGAAGATCCTAGCGCCTTCTATCAGATAGTAAGGAACACAAAAATGAATTTAGAAATACACTTTGAAAATAGGAGTGTTTGGTTCCGCCACTGTGCAATAGATGGCGTTAGGACGTTCTACCCATTTTTGTCGCCTATCTGATGTCCACTTTGATTGAGTATCTCTTGTAATATGTTTTACAGTAACTGTAAATGACAAATTAACCTAGTCATTAGAAAGACGCCAATCTTTTCAAAGCAGGTTTCTGAATTTATTCTTATGTCCTGCCTCTATCTAGCAGTTCTATTTGTTCCTTTACCTCTTACAATTTCCTTAACTTCCGGATTCTAGAAACTGTTTCGGTCCTGTAGCGACCCTTCCTTCTTTACGCCCACCGACTATGTAATACGTTAAATTGCTTAGACAATGCTCTACCCCTTTCACTATTCATTAGAGGAACTTCCCCAAACCATCAGAACTAAGTCGCTACTAACTAGCGACAGACGCCAGTTGAAATTATCCTGGCACACACTAGGTCTGTGGAGGGGTGTGGAAACAAGTGCCCTTAGCACACAGGCTAAGTTCAGTTGCGTTTCAGAAATGCACATAAAGAATCTACAGGTACCTGTGAACTTCTTCTTTCATCGAGTTATAATAAGAACTCATTATACAAGGTGTCCTATAAGTACCACGAAAAACTTAAGGAGAAGGTAGGCTTTGGACCCAAATAACTAAAACTTACCTACATAAAAGTGTCACCGTTTTTGAGATATTGAAGTTTTTCTTAAAATAAAAAAAAACGAACCTTTCCATCTGTGGTCTTTAGCTACATGTACAAATAAGGTTATAAGGTTGTACTTTGTTCATTTTTTCTATAAAATAATTCTAGATAGTTACTTTATCATATACAAATGCAATGTAGTTAAAAAATATTAAGGAACCATGATCAAATAAGGACTATTTTGGGATTTATAACCTTCTGATATTTTTTCCTCAACTGAAACAAAAATGTACTGGGCTATAACTGCATTATGTTGAATAAAAATACAGGGTGTCCGCAAAGTTGGGGTTTTCCTTTTCAGAAACAACTACCCTGGAAATAACAAAGGTAATGTGTAGTGAAACGAGGGCAACCAAGTAAAAAACAATAAAAGAAAAAGTACTCACTCTCCAGTTGACGAGAAGGGCTAAGTACGTCTCTGCCTGATATCGAAAGTTATTCACCCCATTACGCGTGAACGTAGATTCGTCTGTCACCAATATGCACTTCAAAAAGTCCGGATTATTGTCATGTTGATGCAACAACCACTCACAAAACCGCACTCTTGCTGGAAAATCGTCAGGTTGAAGGGCTTGTACACGTTGGACGTTTGCCACACTTTAGTTTTTGATACTTGCACTTCTCTAGCCACGTCTCTAGTGCTTGTTGAGGGATTCTCGTCGTCTACGCGATTCAGTAGTTCTTCCTCAACTTGCACCATTCGTGGTTGTCTAGGCCTCCCACTGTGCCCACCTCGAAGTTCCTCGAAATGGCCCGTATCCCTGACTCTCTGGACCAGGTACACAAATCTGCGGGGCCTTGGATGATGTCGTCTAGGGAAACGATCTGCATACACTCTCGACGATTCTGTATCATTTTGAAGACATTCGCCATAAATTAACAACATATCAACGAGTTCATTATTGGTGTATGAGTGTGCCATTATTATTTTTTTTTGAAACGCAATCGATTATACGGGTTCGTTACCTCTATACGCGTGACCCTTTACCATCGGTTGAAGGTTGCATACTGACCTGACACACTGACCCCGACCCCCGACCCAGTTATGTCATCGGGTTCAGCTATAAGTAGTATATAGTAGCCGGTACCAGTCTGAGATATCGCGGCGGGTCGCGGCTGCAGGACGGTATTCAGATATTTTTGATGTTGCAGAGCCCTTTATCTCGGTTCCCTTAAGACATTGGTGTATACGGTACTAAGAAAAATTGCTTATGTTTTCAAGATCTACACGTCGTGTAAACGAAAACCCCAACCTTGCGGACACCCTGTATTGCCCTACAAGTACGATTTGGAATAGAAACAGTGATAGCTGCTTTTGTAAGTGACTAACACACACCACAATGTAATTATTGGATTTAAATTCAAGTTGCACTGGTTACCGATCAGTGACATGCTAAATAGTACGAAGCTACATTATTATTCTCTGCTACTGATATGATTTTATGAAAGTTGAGGAAACAATAAAAGGTTCGTTTTTTTTAATTTAAGAAAAAAATCAATATCTCAAAAACGGTGACACTTTTATATAGGTAAGCTTTTGTTATTTGGGAGGCCTGTCCAAAGCCTACCTTCCTCTTAAGTTTGTCGTAATACTTATAGCTACAGCTATCATGATTGTAAGTCATTCAACTCCAGCCGAAAACGCTAGAGGTAATTACTTTTAAAGTTGCATAGGTGTAAGAAAAGTTAAATAATTTATCACAAACATTCGATTTAATTTTTGTGATACAGGTGGACCTAATATAAATTTTCAAAGGGCCAGTAGCGTAGAAAATATTGTCTTCTATTTCCGTAGAGTGCTAAATATTCTAGCGACTGTAAGTAAGCACCCATATACAAGGGCTTAAATACCTAGCTAAACTAGGAGGGGCTATTCCTTCCCTGTTGCTAAGAAGGAAGCTTAATATTTTATAGGTTAATGCATCGTTCTCAGGGTAGACCGTGCTTAACTTTTTTTTGGAAACCGTTAGCCGATTTTGTGGAAAATTGTGGATACACTAGACTTGGGATATAGTGAAATATCTATTGCACAGCCAGTCAACTGGATTCATTTGTTCACACGGCTTATTCCTAAAACTCACTAGAACAACGGTTGCCTTCAGTAAACCAACCTCTTAACAATAAAAAAAAATCTATAAGCATACTGTATACTAGTTAAAAAGTAGTATTTTCTCATTTTCGAAAAATGAGGTAATTTTTATTTATATTATTTTGTTTCATAAACCCTTTTGGACCATTTCATTTCTCAAGCTTTGTAAAATGTGTAGATTGGAGTATTCCACTTTATCTTCTTCGGCCCATTTAATTACATTGCTAATTGCTTTGATCACAGATTTAGTTGACACACCTTCTGTGATTACTTCAACTGCTTCCCGTTCTTGATCTGGATCATATTCATCGCTTTCGTTGTGGTCTATAGTTTCTTCATCCGCTCCCATCTTCAAATAGTTATTTATTATACAAGGGAAAAAGTACTAGATATTACATTATAGCTTGAGGTTGTGTAAAACCGAAAGCTAAAATCTAGTATTTTCCCGTGTATAATTCACAATTTTTTTCTAACGGTAAAAACGACGATTTAATATTGAAAAATCATATTATTACAATATTTAAGTCAAACTATTATCGATGTGAAATTTGAATTTTGAAATTAGTAGGTTATGTTGTACTTATAGAGACAATTAGACCTGCGTTGCTAAGGAAACTTTAAAAGTAATTAAATAGCTGTCAATTTAATTATGCGATTTTATTTAAAAGTTGTGAACTTAGTGATTGTTTAGAAGTTATTTTTAATACTATAAAGTAAAAAATGTCTGATTCCGAGTTTTCTTGGAGTCCACCGGAATAAGTAGAGGTAGCCAAAGAAGCGCCACAAAAATTATTGCCAGCTAAATCGGTTTTACAATATCCAGGAAAAAAGTACTCATTTTTTTCCCGGGGAAAAAGTGATTCCATAAAAAGTGACATTTTGTTACCTGTCAACAGAGATAAAATGTCAAACTTTTTTCTCGTCGCAGAAAAAATATCTTTATTCCAATCATCTAAAACAGTGAGGTAAATGTTGGTAGGTATCGTTTCCTCATTCCTTATTCCACTTCTCAAAACACTGGAATTGCTTCTTCATCATATTCGTTGTCTGATGGCGAAAATAGATTCTGCCAATATTTTTTTATAACTTCAGGGTTTAAATTTATCCATGCCAGATCCCAAAAAAAGAAAGAGATTTCAGAGCTTCTCCTGATCGGCGATAACGAATTTTTGCGATATAATGATAAGTGAGTGAGGTTCCATACAAGTGAACGTGTTTATTTCGTCTCTGCTCGCTTCGTGTTCCTGTAGAAAAACTAGCGGAATATTTGAGGTGCTGATTATACCTGCCCTTTCTGCAGTGCTGCAGTGTCTCGTACAAAACCTGCTGTTTTTTGCGAGGCATGTAAAAAATGCTCATGCCAGCTGTATTTCCAATTCCATTGATACACTGAGTGTCATAAAAAATGTCCCTGGTCTATCATGGAAATGTGATGAATGTAGAGGCAACTGCCTGTTTATTAACGAAAAGAGCGTCAATACAGTGCTGTCGAAAAAAATTGATGCTTCACTTGGGCAAATCAAAAATGAAATTCTTGCCATAAAGGATGAGCTGCTGAACCATGCTGTCAAGGAGACTAGCCGTCCAGCTGATCCTCCTCGTTATTCTGATGTACTGCGCAACAGAACTCAACCAGCCATTGTTATTCGTCCGAAAAATACTAATCAGTCAGTAACTCAAACCAAGACGGACATTCTAAAGTCTAAAGTCAGTTGATCCTGTTGAAGCTAACATTCATCTGGGTAAAGTTTGTGATATCAAGGAAGGTGGGATAGTGCTTGGTTGTAAGAGCAAAGCGGATAACTTAAAACTGCTTTCCATTGCAAAAGAGAAGTTAGGTGATTCATACGTCATCAAAGAAGTTGCTGGTATTAATCCTAGGGTACGAATAGTTGGACTGTCTGGCGAATACTCCGATGAGCAGATACGTAGCTACCTTCTGAAGGGTAATCCTGACGTGTTTTTTTTGTGGTGATGTTGAGTGTAAAGTTTTGAAAACATATGCTGTTAAAAAAAATACTAGAATCTTCCAATCTGTCTTACAAATAGATAGAGTTTCCTATGTTAGGGTCATGAAGGCAGGGTACTTATTAGTCGGTTATGACTGCTGTAAGGTTTTTGATGCCGTGGAAGTATTTTGGTGCTTTAAATGCAATGAGCTCCATCACGGCTCAGCTTCTTGTCAGAATGAGGGTTCTTGTCCAATCTGCAGTGGAAAACATGAGATTAAACAGTGTACATCAATAACTAAGCAGTGTTCTAATTGTGTCAAATTAAATTCTAAGTCGAATCTGAATGTTCCAATAAATCATGCAGCTTGGGACAAAAATCAGTGCACTGCCTTCACGAATGCTACAGAAAAACTGAGAAGAGACTTACTCGCTGTCAAATAGCAACTAGCTACTGCTTCAGGCCTAGACAGTCATGATCATGATGCTGATAGAGATAAAGACTTTATTATTTATTATCAAAACACTCGTGGTTTGCGTTCTAAAACTAATGAAATATTCAACTCTGTTCCTCAACAAGACTATTACTCTTTGATAACACTGACAGAAACGTGGCTTGATGCTGATATCAATGATTGTGAGGTTTTTCCGAATAATTATTCAGTTTACAGATCTGATCGTAAGTTTTCAGCACTGAATTTGAGGAAAGGTGGAGGAGTGGCTGTTGCTGTTAGGAGTGAATATAAGTCATCTGCCATTGATATATATGTGTACCCACCTTTCAACCAGGTCAGTCCAAAGATAGATATTTTAGTAATTAAAGTCAGTGTCCATTACTCCAAAATATATGTGATTAATCTGTACATACCTCCTCAGGTAACCGTTTCCGACTATGAAATCTTGTTGGAAGCGATACATAGTCTAGCGTTTTTACATACTGGCAGTATTTTCATTGTTGGGGACTTTAATATAACATCATATGCTGATTAAATTGAAAATAGTATCTCAAATAGTTACATAAACACTTTAAATCTTTTAGCAAGATTTTTCAATGTCATTCAGTATAATTACATACACAATGACAGTGGAAATTTGCTAGATTTAATTTGAAGCAATGCCATTTGCTATGTTGAACATGCTGATGATGCGTTAGTGTGTGAGGATCCTCATCATCCTGCAATGATTGTCACTGTGAGTCACTTTCCTTCCACCAAACATAATAACGTGTTGCATAGCGACTTTAGAGGTTCATATAATTTTAGGAAAGCTGACTTTCAGCTGCTCTATGAAATGATTGTGAATATTAGCTGGGGCGATTTGAAGAATTTTAGTGACGTTGATTTAGCTTGTGAATATTTCTATTTTGAGATCTATAGAATTCTTGATTGTTGTGTTCCTAAAGTTAGAATATCTTATAATCATAGGTATCCTCCTTGGTACAACATCCATATCATTAGAACCCTCAAACAAAAAATGGTGGCATTCAAGACTTTCAGACGCACTGGTGATACTTATTATATAGAAAAATTTACAAGACTTCGCTCAGAGATAAAGCAACATGTAGCTGTTTCATATCGTCGCTACATTCACTCTTTAGAGTGTGAAATATCCAACAGCTCTGGCAAATTCTGGTCTTTTGTTAATAGAAAAAGAACCTGCACTGGTATTCCGAAGGATATGCTGTACAATGGGCTGGGATTGAATACACCTAATGATGTTGTTGGCGAATTTGCGGAACACTTTAGTGGGAGCTATAATACTCCAACAGCTTAATCTAATTTTTCTACTGACTACCATTTCACTACTACACCAACTATGCCTAGTGTACAGGAAATCGATGTGCTACAGGCGCTCAAGAAAATTAAGCCAAAAATGACTGCAGGGCCTGATCAAATACCTCCATTTCTTGTGAGAGATTGTGCGTCCATTTTAGCATATCCACTCATGATCATTTTCAATCTCTCTCTGAAAAATAATCACTTTCCATCTATTTGGAAGTTGTCTAGGGTAACTCCTGTTTTTAAAAAAGGTGAGAGGAATTATGTAGAAAACTATCGGGCCATCACAATTATCAGTAATTTCGCTAAAACATTCGAAATAGTGATACAAACTGTGCTATATTTTCATGTAAGCAGGTCTATCTCCGTTAGTCAACACGGTTTCATAAAGGGCAGGTCCACAGTTACTAACTTGCTACATCTTACTCAATATGTTTGTGAATCAATCGATAGACAACTTCAAACGGATGTAATATATACTGATTTCTCTAAAGCGTTTGATAGTTTAGACCATAACATTCTACTCAATAAGTTATCTAGATTTGGTCTTTCAGATGCATTGTTGCTATTTTTCAGATCTTATTTATGTCATAGGAAACAATATGTTATGTGCAATGGATATAAGTCAAGCGAATACCCTGTAATGTTCGGTATTCCTCAAGGATCTAATTTGGGACCTCTGTTATTTATTATGTTCATAAATGATATTTCTGAAGTTATCGATGTCGATTTTCTTATATATGCTGACGATATGAAACTTTTCTGTAGAGTCTCCAACATTGACGATTGTCATCGCTTGCAACGCAACATTGTAAGGGTTGACAACTGGTGTCGTGAAAACAGACTTGTTTTGAATGCTGCTAAGTGTCACGTTTTGTCGTTTACTTTAAAAACAGGGGTAATGATGTATGAATATAGTATTGGTGACAGGAAACTTGACAGACCTAGTACAATTAATGACTTTGGAGTCACATTTGACAGAAAACTTTCCTTCTCCTATCACATTGAAAATGCTGTTGTGGCTGCATCAAAGGCGTACGGTTTTATTGTAAGAAATACCGGTGATTTCCACAACTCCTTTACACTGAAAATACTGTACTATGCTTATGTAAGATCTAAGCTTGAATATGCGTCCCTGATATGGTATCCTCATCATCAAATATATATTGACCGCTTAGAGTCCGTTCAAAGAAAGTTTTTAAAATACCTCTCATACAAAGCTGACGGGATATATCCCGCTATTGGCTTTCCTCATAGTGAGTTGATGGCGAGACACAAAATCTATAATTTAGAGAGCAGACGCAAAATGAATTCACTTAAGTTCATTCACAAGCTCATCCACGGCATTATTGACTCCAGTGTCATCTTAGAACAACTTCTTAATTCCTAGATTAGCGTCACGAACTAGTTTAACTTTTTACTTAGCCAGGCCTAGGACTGACATACTTAAGTTTTCCCCTATATATATATATAATGTGCCGTAATTATAATTCAGTTAATAGCGTTTTAGATATATTTTCGTTTTGTGCGACTTTGGGAGACATTAATGCTTATTTTCGTTAATGCTTGCCGGTGTGATTGTTGAGTGCTGGGTGGTAAAGCTAGAACGCTTTTTTTTCCTCCCAGTTCTGTTTTGAGGTTTTTTTTTGCAGCGTTTTAGCTTTCTCTACATACATCCACAACATGCATTTGTTTATATTTTCATGTTTATCCATCCTGTAATTGGCTATGGCTGTTGGATGTTGCTAAATAAATAAAAATAAAAAAATAATGAATCGCATTTTGGTCAATCGATTGAACGCCTTCAATTTTTGCTTCTAGACTTCCTCTGAACGGAAAGATATTTCCTTCGCTGTTTTAGACACTCAAGGCTTTATTTTTTTTTTCTTTGAAAGTGTTGTCCCTCCTTAAAATGTTAGTCACTTCTGCAGTAAATTTGACACCACCATACTCCGTCACCTTTCTTCGTATCTTTTAATATCTCGGCTTTGTTGCTTAGTTTTGAGCGTTTCCTATTTTTTTGCCATACTTTACTCGTGAAACGATCTGATATAATTAAAATCTGTAAAAGACGACCGTTATCTAATTACACAAAGAAAACAAAGCGTTTCAAATTGTTTCCCTGTTTTGATGTGTTTGTTTAGAGACCAAAAGGTGTTGGCTCAAAAAAATGTCTGTTCACTATTAACTGTACCATTCAGCATTATATCGCGAGTCTATTGTATTTAGCAGGTTCAGTCGTCACCTACGAGGGCGGTTCAATAAGTACCCGTGTTAGAAATGAAGACACCATTTTTTCCAAAAAAATTCTTTTCATTTTTCAACATAGTCCCCTTTTAGAAAGATACACTTTTCTCAACGTTCCTGCCATTTTTTTAAACCCCAAAAAGTAGGATTTGTCCAGCTCTCCAAACTACGCCTCTGTCTCGGCGATGACTTCCTCGTTTGAGCTAAATTTTTCCCCGCGAGCCATTTCTTCATGTCAGGGAACAAGAAAAGCTCGCAGGGGGGCAGACCGGGTGAATACGGCAGCACTTCATAACGCAATTCATGCAGTTTGGCGGTGACAACTCCGGATAAATGAGCTGGTGCGTTATCGTGGTGAAACAGCACCTTCTTTTTCGTCAAATGTGGTCGTGTTTCCTTCAATTTTTTGTCGAAGCGGTCCGGTAACTGAGTATAGTATTGTCCAGTGATCGTTTTTCCTTTTTCTAAAAAATCCACGAGCATGACGCCGTTCGCATCCCAAAAAATCGTCGCCATGGCCTGTCCGGCCGATGGGACCGTCTTCACCTTCTTTGGAGCAGATTCACCGGGAGAAATACATTGTTTTGATTGCTGCCTAGTTTCTGGTATGTAATGATCAATCCTGATTTCATCGACGGTGACAACTCGTCACAAAAACTCCTTAGGATTTCGCATCCGGTTGTTGTCCGCCGTGAGCAATCGCGGCACTCATCGGGCGACAGTTTTTTCATAGCCAACTTATCATGTAAAATATTGATTGCCGAACGATTCTGCTCTTTTTCCATCTTAGCGAAAATCACGAAACACGTGTTACCCGAATGGCTACCAAATCCAAACTAACCTATCAATCGGTCTGAAATTTGTTGTTGCCACACGATGATAATATTAACTTTTCTCAGGAACGCCCTATGTCGTCAAACACGGGTACTTATCGAACCGCCCTCGTAAATTACTTAAGAAAGCTGGAAAGAAAGTGCGTTATCAAAACGACGTTTTCCTTATTCGATGCGATTTACATTCAAATCGCTACATATGAGCATTCGAAAATAATGACTGAAGCTTGAACAAAAAATCGATGCCTTGACATTGACACTCCCGAGGTCAGATACTTCAATCACAGTTTAACATCCTATAGATCGAAACGTCCATTGATGATTTTATCTGCTCGATAGTAATTTCTTTTAGATTGCTTGGCCTGTCTTATAATAATTATATGTCCTAGTATAAAGTTTTTCGATCCAGTTTTTTCTTTTGAAGGGTCCTATCGAACACAGTTGTATTTTTTTAAACGGAACGCTTTATTCGACAGCATTATTACCCTGTATACAAAAGAGGCATAGCATGAAACATCGTATATTCCCAACTAACAATTATCACTCCTATTAGAGTTGCAAGAGTGACTATACAGTATTCCTTAAACAGCATTGTATACTGTAAGAACATTGGCAAAACCCTCTTAGAACAGCTATACAAGCGGAATGGACACACCTAATAGGACACTTCAGTCATTTAAGAGGTTGTATAAGGGCTGCAGGTAACAGTTATAAAACAAAAGTGTAAGCCTCTTGCAGCCGCTATAGGACATTTGCGTCAGTGCAAGATTCAGTTTTTGTCAACTATACAACTATTCTGTTACGTGATTCTACTTTATTGCAACCAAACTATTTCTTATCTATTGTATTCACGAAGTGAAGAATATATAACTAACACATTACAGTCATCTTGTTTACATACATATCGGCCATTGTGAATTTCATACACAGG